AATAATGAAAAGATGCATTGTCATGCAATACAAAACATTTGGAATACACTTTCTGACTGAATAACATAAGATTAAAAGTCATCTGCTTAATTCACAGCCATTTACAAATCAACTACTTGGGGAATTGCAGAAACGTTTTGCTACCTGAGCTTGTAAGACAAACCTAATATCACTGGATAATCTTCTGAGAACATTCCTTCTTTAGCTCATATTCCAAGGATATTAGTGAATATAATTATTGCAAAAGAAATTGAATATTTATTTGCACTACGGCTTGGTAGTTTACTAACGATAATTAAGTTAATTATTAAATTAATAATTAAAGTTAAATTCTGCTTTTTGTGCTGCTGCTAAAAATACAACAATATTTTAAATATTTACAAATAAAATATTAAATTGGAGATTTAATTTGAGTCTTACCAGTTGCCTAGCATTTGAAGATTGTTAAATACTAATTGTTTGTTGCTAAGTCTAACCCAGGCTGCATAGTTGGTTTTCTTAGATTTCTAGGTTCTCTTTACAAAGGTCCTCTATGAAAGCATCTTAACCAAATAGCTCCCATGTTCTTTCTATGTTCAAATAACCAACTAACCTAGTTTAAGTGCGATTTCCAAGTGAAGCTACTAGCAAAACCAAATACTCATTAAAAATCATGTAGCTTGCCAATCGGGAGTACCGTGAAAGATACAGCGTCAATAATTGAATTGCTGTTACGGTACACTGTTTCTAAACTTAGGTGGTCATTCCTTAATTAAATATGATTGATTTGTAACTTCTACTAGAGCTTACAGTAAGAATTGAAATGTGAATAAATAATATCTTGTGCAATATTGATTAATATAAAATTAGAAATATTTACATAGAAAAGTATTTGCATTCAGACAGAAAGTTTTTTGAAATATTTGCAATTACTTTATAAGAAGGAGTTATTAATAACCGTAATAATTACTTATAATATTGCTGCTGATTAGAATTCAGTTCTTGACAATTACATTCTAAATTAGAATTTTAAGGATGTAGTGAAAATACGCTACGCAGAAAAATACATCTTAGGATAAAAAAATTAGTCGATTTTTGATGATTAAAAACTTCTTAAATTCATTTAATAAACATTGTAACCTCGTTGGTAATTGAATCCAGAATGTTGAATGTCGTATGTAATTATTCTTACTTGTCCACAGAACCTGCTGACATATTGAACCATTAAGTAGCTGCAGATAATTTCTGCATAACCATTGAACTTCCATTAATTTGGTCTCTAGAGGGTTGTATGTTTATATCATAATTTCACTAATTGATTATTTTAAATCTTATGTTTCTATAAAAATATACTATGCTTTAAAAATATGGATGATAGTATCAGCTGCTCTTTCAACCACTTCATAAGCAACAGTTTCTTTAGAAATAAATTATGCAGTTAATGTCATAAAATATTTTAATAAAATTCAAATAAACATCAAACGAAAGTTCTCAGTTTTAGACAATTCGATCTAAACGAAGTTAAAGTTAAGTAGCAGATGATAAAACGCCAAAGATAAAAATTTACTCTTACAAATATTTTTTTTTTTTAAAGGAAGAAAAGAAATTTTTTTAAAAAGTTAAAAATTTGAATAATGTCATCTTTAATTTAAAAAATAATAATTTTTCACATAGTATTAATAAATATTTATTGCATATCATTGAGGGAAAAAATTTCATATAATTAATTCTCTGTAAAAATTTATTTGAAATTTAAGATTTAAAATAGCTGTGGCAATTCACTGTAACAAAAATCCATAAACCACATTTGGCTTTATTATCGCTCAAAAAAAAGATGCCAAATTTCAAAACAAGAAAATATGTGAATTCGTGTATATCTTAGAAAATTTTAAATAGAAAAGTCTAATTTTTTGCAGGTTTGCTTAGAAATACACCTACTTTTTTATGATGTCAAAAATTTTATAGGTTATAAAGCAAAATTTTTTTTCAAAAAATTTATAAAAATTATTTAAAAATAGAAATTTAAAAAATAAAACACAAAAAATGAGTAAATTTTATTTGGAATGAACCTAAATTTCGAAATGTGAAAGGACAAGTAAAAAAGTTTAATATAAAAGGAGATATTAATAAATATTTGCCAAATTCAATTAACATTGAGGAGCTAAAATTGAGTCGTAGAATCGAAATATGAAAAAAAAATTGGTATGTTATTTCAGAAAAGTCCGATTTTGTGTAAAAATTCCTATGTTGGAATAGTACTATATATAAATCTAATATATATTCTAAGTCACGCTTTTGAGACATGAAAAACGCAATTTGAATTGTGTCAATCGGTCCAGTAGAACGGGAGATATAGAACTGTCCCCCCCTTTTTTTTTAGCAGTGAACATTCTTGAAACATTAACAAATTGGGAAATGAAGTACAAACTAGTGAGAACATTAATTTGTTAATTGAAACAAATAAACTTAGAAAAGATGCAAAATTGATATAAATTAGCTAAAGTATTAAAAAGATGCATAAACATTTTTGTGTTTGTTGTCAAAATATGAATGTTTTGTAGCTTTTAATGTATAATTATACTAGCATTTTAAAATCAATATTATAAATTATAACTTCTGTAAAATGTTCTTACCGCTTTTTTAATGATTATTTAAAAAAAAAAAAAAAAATGTAACCATGTAAATCTATTATGACTAAGGGTATCTAACTACATAATTTAATTATTTGTATTTGACTGCTCACCCTTGAAAGTTATCTGTACATGCTAAAGTGAGTTATTGCCTTCCCTTAGTCCTTATTGTGGATATGTCACTTGACGTAAAATTTGTGTAAAGCTTTGGACTGAATGACTATACGATGAAATGGAACATAAAAGAAAGAAACAATATAAAGCTATTAGTAAAATGTAAATAAAAAAAAAAAAAAAAAAACTACTTAATGCTAATTGTAAAAATTATGAAGTTAATTTTATTCTTGACTTTGTTTTATTATAATATATAATAAATATTTGTTATGTAATAAATATTTGTTTATTATAATAATGTATTATTTATAAGATATTAGATTATGTTAATATTAGAATTTGTTTAATTATAGCAAATCTTATTTATTTAGGTTTATTTTATTCTTACAAATTAAAAAAAAATGGTATTATAAAAGTGAAGTTCGGCTGTAGATAATTGCTTTAGGATTCAGTTCCTATTTGCTTGTTAGGTCCTTAAAAGTATTTAATTTCAAGGTGCAGAAATGTGTACAAACCCTGTGAACCTGACATGGGATGACATGGGCAAAGCAGCAAAATAAACATCAATAAGGCGCTGTTTGCCACCATCTAGATTTCTACCTCATCAAATTAATGTGGTGATGATTGAATGAAAAGAATGACAGTGTTAAATGAAATTGGCAGTTTTATACCTTCTGCGTAATCTAAAATCAATCTGGTAAAAGCTGTTTTGTATTTGTCTTTGTTTTTTTGTATTGTTTCTCGATTTAATAAAATAGTCATTCTTGTCATGAATATTGTTAGGATTGCTGCCATCTAGTTAGATTTTGAACCAATGTTTATGCCGAGTAATGCTCCATTAATAAAAAAGTACCATATTTTATTTAGCTTAATAACCAGTATATCATGTTTGCATCTTAAATCAAATAAGAACCCAGCAGTTGAATTCAAATGTAAGTATTCTGTCAGTATTGTTCAAGATTTAATGCTTGAATAATTCTTCAGTAAATTTTTAATTTAAAGGTTTGGGAAATATGATGAATTTTACACATATAAAATAATAATGCATATTTATCATTTCTCGCATTCTTCTCGTAGCATTTTTCAGCATATAATTTATAAATTTCTGATTTACTCTAATTTTTAACTTCCTCAAATCCAAAAAAGGGACTTCTTCCTTCATTCTTGGGTCTTTTTAAAGTGTGTTAATTTAGGCTTTTATTGGCAGTAGGAATCTCCAGATTCTAAATTAATTGACCCAGAAATGAATTTTTATGTTCTCAATTTTAATATTTGGTAGAATTGTCATATTTTTTAGTATACACATTACAATAAATAGCCAACCCATGCAGGCATGTACCACATATGTGCATGAGTACATGTGGTTTTAATAGGTTTTACATTTAACTGTCATTTCACTAAGCAGTATCCAATGGATGTAAAAATGTAAATATCAGCCATACAGATACTTTCTCCATATTATTTCATATAAAATGCTTCCTCTTATTATTATTTCTGAACAGTACCATTAATTCACAAAGTTGCCAGTGATTAGCAAATTCGAGAATATCTCCATGAAGAGTTTGCAAATAATCTAATAACACTTATGTATTACATTACATAGGAATTCAATATAACAATAACATAATTGAGTAAAAAGTGTTATTAAAAATCTAATGTGGATTTTTAATTCTCTGATAATGAAAAATGTAAAATAGGCTTTTTTGGATAAATGTGAAATGCATGATAAACTAAGATTTGAAGTTGTATTCAGTTCTCTCTATAACTTTTGTAATATTATGTGCTCTCAACTTTCATTGAAACAATGACTTTAGAGCTATCTGATAATAGTTGAAATGTAAAATCTGATGCATTCTTGATATTGTGTGCCTATTGTTTACATATTCTTAAATGATTTATTTTTATTCTGATTCTGTATATAGATAATTAAATTGTTATTTTTAAAACCTGTAAGATTGCAAATATTCATATATAGTAGGTTATATATAAGTTTATCTAATGCAGATTTTAGAATTATTATTTTTATTATTTTGATAGAGTTGCGAAATTACTTGAGAGAAAACTTCAAATAAGTTTGGTTCAAGTTGCAAAGTAGTTAATGTACATTTATGTAACTTCATTAAATCTAAGTTAATTTTAAATTTTTAAGGAAAGATAGTTTTTTAAGGAAGTGAAAAGATTTATCATAATCTAATGATTAAACTGTTTTTGCCTTTTTATTACATTTTATTGCCATGCTCTTTTAATTACCTTTTTTTCCCCTTTTCATTGTTACAGTTATTCTCTAAAGAGTACATAAATCTTCTAGTTACAGTATATTTCTTTGGCTTAGGAGTATTAGCTCTCACTCATATTATAAGGTAAGTTGTTTTCACAGAAAATAAATTATTCTTTCTAAAACTGGCATATTGCTCAAAAATAGTTTCAAACATTGATGAGTTTAAAGTTTTTTCTCTTATTTTATTTTAGTCCTTATGTTTCAAGGCTAGTCCCAGGAAGCTACCAAGCTGAACATAACATTGTTTATAACAGGGTAGCTGGAGGTGAAAGGGAAGGTATTTATTAAAATTAACTTTAACTTATTAAACTGAATGTGTTTGCAAAAATATTAAGTGAATCTCTGTATTTTTAAAATATATGCAAAAATTGTGCAGATGAATCATTGCAGTCTATTTACTGTCTCTTTGAAGAAATGCCTTTGTAACCTGTTCAGTAATTACTACTAGGGTAATAAAATTTACTGCCCAAAAGTTTAGCATATGCACAGCAGTAATACAGATAATTATTATTAACACTGGTATCTTTAGAAAATCAATAAAATTCAAGTAGGTAGTCTTCAGTGCATGAGATCAAGTTTTCTTTGCAGTGTTAGCCATTTTGATGAAGATTATTGTAGGTTATGTGCATATTTTCTTCATTGGCACAGTATTTATTTTCCTGTAATATGCTTTTAAGAAGAAACAAATTAAGTTGTTGTCTAAAAGATATTATGATTAAGCTATTCTAGACCAAACATTATTACTTGCTTTGGAGAAGTTTGTAATTGTCTGATGAGAGAGATATATTTAATGTAATTATAATTTAATTTTTCTGGAACATTTGTCTGCATACCATTTAGAAATTTTAACTAAAGTTCTGGGATTCAAAGTTCTGGTTTGGATTTTGAAATAGAAATATTTTGCATTGTACTTTTGTCAACATTCCGATGAAATATAATTTTATTAATAAATTTAATAATTATTAATATTACATAAACATAAAAAATCTGACATTTGTAATTGAAATGAGTAAATAATGGGTAAAACTCTGAAATTTTCAGATTTATTTGACAGTTGTGGAGAAATTTGGTACTTGTGTTGCAATAAAGGTACCTAGTTATGACCATATAAATGATGTTAAATGTTTGAAATATGTAGAAGTGATGTAACTCTTATGTTAAAAATGTTGCGGAAAATGCATTATGGCAGTTCTATTTGAAATAATAATAATAAAAAAATAATAGTGTCTAGTTTTATACGAAGTAACATTCACTGGAATGTGTGCTTACTGCAAGATTCTAAAGTCACTGATATTCTAGAAACACCGAGAATACCTCTTTTGGTATCTCTTGAAGGCTGGCCATCATACCATTTTGGATATCTTAAATTGTCTGAAAATGTTGATCCACTGAATTATTTTTTTATAAGAGAGAGCAGCGGATGATGAGAAAACTGACAATGAAGACAGTTGTTGCATGACAAGAGTTTGTTTCTGATCAAAGGAAACTAAGTTTCTTTTCTCAAGTGCCTCTTGCTTAAAATACAGCATGGGGTCAAATGAGTCACTAATTTTTTTTTCAATTTGTTTATTTACAACTGAAACTACGTTTTCGATATCACTTCATGTATTTCTGTACAGTGTATGCTAATGCCTTTTAACAGCGAAATTCAATTATTTCAAGTTTTATGCATGATGTAAGGTTACACTCAAGCTTGCTTAAACTAAACTAGTCTATTCCTTCAAACTGTAAAACAAATTTTCATCTTTTTCTAGAAATTCAAAAGGTTAAGATGAACGCAACTGTAACATGAAATAAAACAGCTAAAAATTTTAGCCTTTTCACCTTGAAGTCTAAAGTAAATTTAACAAACATGGATTTCCTTCTGGCCACATCTGTAAACAAGTGATTAAAAATCATTTAATGTTAGGATTTCGACTGGGTTCAAACCCAGGTGAATGGGCTGGTAGCATATTTGGGTTCCATGGTTTTCGCCATGTGTAATGTGATTAGAAGAGCGTTTCCATAAGAAAACTCTCCATAAAGATATCCCTCCTTAGGCAAATAACCATTGTGGCTTTGTTGTACTCAAATAACCTAACCGGATCTCCTGCTTCTCCTGGAAATGACAAGCAGTGCACAATTGAAATTATTTACAATTACAAGTTTAATTCTATCTTAGCACATTGCTGATTAATTTCATATCTAATCATCTGCTAAGGAGGCAAATAAAGAACTTGCAAAGTTTATTCATTTATATCAGCTACTATACTAAGAAATGTACTCTAAAGTGATGCCTGCTACCAATTCCTTTTCCCTTAATTTAACCCTTTCCACTTGGGGCCTTTTTCTTGCAGTGCACCAGCAACTCGAGACGTTTCACAGCCTTTTTGACGCATGTCTTACCAGTAACTTCAAATTATTGCGCACACAAATTAATGCATAAAATTTTTATATTTTGACATTTTATATATCTTTACAACTTTATAAACATAATTTCTTAAATATTAGTCTCTAATTTTTATGTGTTTGATATTTCATGTAACAATTTCCAAGATGCATGCCCGGCTTCTCGGGCCAAGTATTACAATTATATGTTGTTTGATGCCTTTTTCCAGTTTCGTTTCTCTTAGAACAGACTTTGCAATCCTTCCTAACTCCTGTTAAGATATTGTGCAGCTTTCCATTCAAGTGGATATCTTCAGAATCGGAGATTGAAGTCAAGGCTCGATCACGGGGCTCAAAATATCGAACTCATCTTCACTTGAACTTATTTCAGTACTACATTCCATGTTTTTAGGGATAAAAAACTTTAGTAGTCTCTCTGCCATGACTGTCAAGTTCAAACAAATGCTGAAAATGCTATCCGGTTCGTGGTTGCGGGCTAATTTTAGATAAAATCTTATCTTCGTTTAAAGGGATTACTTCCATTTTACACTTCATATACAGAAAGAGCGTAGGAACCTGCTTCGAAGAAACTAAATGTCAACCGTTATTGCCGTGCATCGAGTTTCCGCATCAAACCAAGTGGTGAGCGAGAGTCACCTCTCAAGTTGCAGCATCAAATCACATGCCGCACCTCTCGAGTGCAAAGTGTTAAAATTCCTTTCATTTGCATATTCTGATAGATGCATATAAAGCAGTAGAACTCAGAAGAGATTTGTTTTAACTTGAGCAAAAATATGTTAAAATAAATTTTACAATGTGACCTGACTTTTCCATAAGCCTTTTGAACTGTAGGATGTATTATTTATTGGAGTTGTTCCTTCAAAATATATATAAAATTATGATTTGTTTCTGATGTTGTTATATTTTGAATGTTAAAGTAATATATGCTTATTTGAATATTTTCAGTGTTTTTGACTGGCCTGCTAAATTATTATTATTATTTTAAAGAGTACTGTGATATCCAGCCTTAAAATATTCTTTTAACTGCCTTCTGTGTATTAAATCATCTAATTTTCATTTTATTCATTTTTTAGAGCTTTTAAACTTTACTTTTGGCACTGGAGATTTGATTGCTCTTGGATTATGCAGCCTAATTGGAGGTGTATACTTATGGAATAAGGTTTGTAATGTGTTAAATATTTTCAAAACATTTCTCTAAAGTATCATGAATGGTATATATATAATAGCGAACAGAGTTCAGTTTTAAGTAGAAAGTTTCAAATACACAAATAATTATAAAGCAGAATTTTATAAAGGAAGATTACACATATCCATTTATTAATAATAACCGTGATGCAGAATAGGCTATTAATGTTTGTGGAATAAAATTATAAAACCATTAGTACAAGATCATTATAAATAAATATTAAAAATAATGGACATTATTATAAAAAATGACAGACAACCAGGGACTGAGCAATCAAAGGACAAAAACAATAATAACCGAATTCTGTTTTTAGTCATTTCAACACCTTTTTTTCTGCATCTAATGTAAATATATGCCATTTTCTTCTGAAAAAATCTTTTGCTTTAATTTAATAATCTAATCCATATGAGCAGCAAGCTGTGTGATTATTTTGTATCAAAGCGATTAGGAGTTTTTCAAAACATAGTATTTATTTTATGCAGTTGAACCGACCCATTCTTGCTCCAAAAATGTGTTTTGTTTCTTTTCTTCCGATAGAACAAGCTTATTAATTTAAGAAAATTAATAATTTTACTATAAATAATTATTTAATATATTATATTTAAGAAAACTTTAAATATACAAAGTACATGCATGATTTAATTGCATTCATATGCATATTAAATGTCATGTTTACTGTTATTGATTCAATGAAAAATTACAGCCTATTAAATATCATATTTCTATTATTAATCAATCATTTTTCTGTAGCATTTTATTACATGGAACAAATCTGTGATGATAATGTAATGATTATATTTTAATAAGATGGTGTAACATATAGCTATAATATTCTATGAACTTACTAAGAGTATTATATTTGAAATTGTTTTATTGTGAAAAAGTTTTTCTAAAAGGGTAGTGCCTGACCTTTCATTAATTTCAATAAAGTATTGCTTGATTATAGATAATTTATAAGTAAATGTTACTAGAGATAAAAATTTGTTCACATTAATGTAGTAAATTTGTATTTATTTTATTTAATATAGTTTTGTAAGCCATTTTTTAAGATTAACAACAGATAGAAACATATAATAAATAGCATAATTTATGGAATGTACAGCCAGTAAAGCAGCATACAGAATATAGTATATAGAAACATACCCATTTTGACGGCCATGAGAGGATTTCTTTTTCTGTGTTGCATATTGTGGCCAACTACAGCATCTTTTCCATTGATGGATGATTGAAAATAATAAGCATTTTAAGTATTTGATAATGAAAAAGTAAGAAAATTTTCACTAGCTGAAGAAACATGAATTTTATGCATAATTTAAGTACTTGCATTATTATAAAGACTTCTGAATTTCTGATCTGCTTCCTGCCTAGCCTGAAATGCATCAGTTCCTGTTTTGTACCAAGACCTGCATAATCAGCCAGTTGAAGATTGAAGATGAACTTTGAAGATGGGTAATATTGTGAGGTAGTGTTTAATGAAATTCTCTCACAATTTCCAGGATTGACACTGAAAATCATTTGGCTGTCTGTATTTGATCATTTAAGATCCTAAATACTGCATTTTTAATTAGATTTGAAGATCGTCAATTTCAATCCCCAAATAACTACAAAGGAAATAGTCACATGTTGAAAGATTGGGGATTCACTCAGAGCTGCATTCTTTGAAATGAAAAATTGTGTTTGCATTGACAGGAAGAGTTGCAAGCTGTGACATTAAGAAATTTTACAACATATAAACATAATGTTCTGAATTCACACTAACATCATTGCTTTTCATGTGAAAACAAATAAATAAACTATAGCCCAGCAATTCCATACGATGATATCTTATATATCACTGTCACTTTCTGGCTATGTGGCTTCTTTTTATGATGTCTTTGAAAATTCTTACATGACCTTACTTCATTTTCCTTCTTTACAAAACATGAAAAAGGAAAAATGGACCTAATCATTCTATATGAGATTGTTAATGAGGTTGGAATTTTTGCTTATCATTTCCAAAACTGTTTGACATGATTATCACAGGTATCGAGATGTCGGCATTCCACTTTACACCTGAGACCAAACAACAGTCATGTGAGTGGCAGCTTCCCTCTTTACCCATGCCATAAAAATTCAGATGTAGTCTGCTGGTACAATCATGGCAACTATGTTTTGGGACCAGAAAAGGATATTATTAATTGACTTTAGCTTGGTGGAACCACAAATAAACACCAACAGATACTTTGAAACACAGAAGAAACTTTGGCAATTCAGAACCGGAGAAAGAAAAATGTTAAACCAGGATATAAGCGTTCTTCACAATAATGCTCACCCACACATCGCCTGTCAGATCGTCGCTATCCTGCAAAACTTTGGTTAGAATGTCATCACTTACTCACCATGTAGTGTAGACTTAGCATCCAGTGACTACCATTTGTTCTGTAGGTTGAAAGAATATTTGTCTGGACCCGGGTTATGCTTTGATGATGAGGTGAAAGATGTGGTTCAACGCTCCCTGAAGGATGTGCAGCTAACTGGTATGACATGGACATTGTGAAACTGCCATAGCATTTACAAAAATGCATCTAATAAAATGGCGATTATGAAGAAAAATAAGCCAGTCCTCACCCTTTAAACTGATGTAAATATTGGAGAAAAAAAAGTTATTTGTATATCTAAAACTCTACTTGAAGGCTAACTTGTATGACATGGACATTGTAAAACTGCCACAGCATCTGCAAAAATGCATCGAATGAAATGGCGATTGTGAAGAAAAATAAGCCAGTCTTCAACCTTTAAACTGATGTAAGTATTGGAGAATATAAACAGTTATTTGTATATCTAAAAATATGGGAGATCTTACAATTTTTTATCACTGGTTAAATTATTAAGTAAATATGACAATGCTATGAAACAAATTTTTGAAATGCCAATAAAAAGTGTGCGATATTCGAGTCCTACCGTACAAAATGAATTGATTCAAAGTGCTGGTCATAAGTTAGAATTAATTTTGTAAACTTGATACTTGCATCTCGCTCTTATTCTTTATTATTAGGTACTACTCAAGATAAATCGATCAAACAAGAGTCGTTTTAAGGCATGTTCACATTGCTAGAGATGATAATCAAAACCCATAAATTTTATAATTTTCTCAGATTTTATGCTGTTAAAGGTCTTTTTTTTTTTTTTTTTTTTTTTTTTTTTTTTTGAAAGATTGAAAGAACTTCTCAGTTTCTTGAAAAAATAAATGCTAATTATAAAGTATTATGGACAAGTATATGTAAAAACAATTCAGCCAAATGCAGTGAGTAGATACACGACTTATGTCAAGTGATTTAATTTTTTATATATTATGTTCAAAACTTGTATATATTGATTATCTAATTAAATAAAGAGCGATCTGTTAATTCAATCTGTTCTGCTGGTATTTCTGACAAAAATTTGATGAGATTTCCACCAGTTTTCATGTTCAGCAGAATTTTGAAATCTCACATAATTTAAATGTAGGCATTTGATATTCCACTTGAAAAACTAATAAAATGACTAATTTAGACACAATTAACATGCTGAACAAATACTAATTCAGAAGTCAAGCAACAAAAATCAGCGTTATATTTTCAAATTTTCACAGGACTAGTTTCGATGATTTTACCGAACCATCATCTGCAGCTGCAAAAGCGCAAATGAAATGAACGAGATAGGATATAATGATTAGATAAGATAAGAAAGCCTGGACAGAAAGTAATAAAATGACTCTTTTTAAAATTTTAGACAGGAAGTGTTTTTATTTCTTTCTTTCTTTCTTTTTTTTTTTTTTTTCCATGAACTGCATTTTTATAAGTTCAATTTTCTGGAATTCTGCATATCCTTAGCTTTCTGAATTTTATTGTAGTTTGTGATATTCGACTAGATGATGTACATGCTTTTTAAGTAGTAAAATTTCTGAATAATTCTACAATATTATTTCTAATAGTGTTTGTTTTTGTGTTTTCCAGTTTTGTATTATTTGTTTTTAATAGCTTAATTTTATATATATGTATAGAGAGAGTAAGTTTTTAAGTTAAGTAGTTTGTATTTAATATTTTCTATATAATGCTGTTCTAGATTATAGTATCAGCAATTATTATAACAATTTTTCTTTTTTTCTAGCACTGGGTCGTGAACAACATTTTTGGCTTAGCTTTTGCTTTAAATGGAGTGGAGTTTCTTCACCTGAACAACATTATCATTGGATGCACACTTCTTGGTGGTTTATTCATTTATGATATATTTTGGGTAAATGAAATTTTAATATTGACATTTTTAAATATTTTCTTTTTCTTTCTTTTCTTTTCTTTTTTTTTTTAAACAGTTTGCACTTTTAAGTTTTTTTTAACCTTCTCCAGTGTATTTTTTAATAAAATAACATTAACCACTTCCCAGTTTGGGTACTTGGAAATGGCGCTTTTTTTATTTTCCCGTAGTCTAATACACTGATTTGCCCGAATTTTTTGCTTGTTTAGTGTGTAATGTTTCTGACAGATGGCACTAGTAATCCAGTGAAGTTAGAATTGCAAAACAACTGGTTTCAAGGTTATGTTTTACTGAATTCTTTTACGCAAGTAAAGGCATGAAATTTCTTTTCACTAGCTCAGTGTCCCGGCTACTGCGACTGATTTGCCCGAATTTTTTGCTTGTTTAGTGTGTAATGTTTCTGACAGATGGCACTAGTAATCCAGTGAAGTTAGAATTGCAAAACAACTGGTTTCAAGGTTATGTTTTACTGAATTCTTTTACGCAAGTAAAGGCATGAAATTTCTTTTCACTAGCTCAGTGTCCCGGCTACTGCGAATACTATTTCTTCTAAATTTGGAGCTAAAATAAAAGAAGAAATGAATGATAATGAGTAGCTTATAACTAAAGATAACTCTGATATTGACTCAGATAGTGAATCTGAAATTTCACTAAATGATTCTGAAAGTAATGACAGTTTGTTGTCTGACTTCTCTAGTGATGAAGAAATGGAAAGTATAGATAATCTAACACAAAATTCGGAACTTTTGTGAACTTGATATTAATAATCCTTCTTTCTTGATATTAATAATTCTTCTTTGGAATCGAACAGATATGCAATAACAATAAAACATTTTAAATTCTGACATCTATTTTTGTACAGTGTTCTTTCCAGTTCGCTTACTTGTTCGAAAAAAGCCAGCTTTAAGGAAAAATGTGCATTTTATGATGAAAATAAAAATTAAGCATAAATCAATAAATTCCAACACTTGTAATAGTTTTTACTTCTGATCTGATAACGAATTTCTTCATAGAAATGTTTATCAAAAATATACTTATTTTTGTCATAATGTGACGGAAAAAAGAAAATGTTAAGTGGTTAAGGAGTTTCATGAAGCATTAATTTGCACTTGTAGATAATTTTTTTCCTCCTTCCATGAATTTTTTTTAAAACAATATAGTGATAATCTTCATGATCATTGCCGGTTTGAAATGATGAAATGAATTAATATATATGCAAATATATTAAATAACACTTAAATTATGCTGGAAAGATAGTTTCTCTAGTTTATAAATAATGTATATATGTAAGATAAATTATATGAATCAGAATAACTAAAAACATTAATTCTTCCTCTTTATTCTAAAATCGTAATAACTTCTCTGCATTGCGTCATTTCTAGATCACTCTATGGCCCGCGCAACTCTGATGACGTAATAATTAAGAACTGAAACTGACCTTGTAAACCAAAACTTTTCTCTTCGCGTGCTTCCATCTTTCATAACTACGTACTTCAGCTTTTGCTCTGTGCTGTGCTAAGATGTAATTTCGCTGGCTTGCTTTCTATCTCAAAAATATCAAAAATGTAAATCTTCTGTGGAAAGGCACGACTAGAGTGCCAAGTGATTGTGGCCACAAATATCAATTGGGAATAAAAATGGAATTAAAACTGCCTCGACTGCCAAGTTCTTTAAATACTACACAATCAAAATTCTTCAATATGGATCTAATCACGCATCGACACTGCTCCGTTTTTTCCTTTGTGCTTTATTATGACAATTATTTATTTATTTCTTTTTTTCACTTTTTCATAAAAAATTTTTTAATGCAATACAAAAACTCAGTACACACCATAACTAAAATGTAGATGAAAATCAGAAAAAAATAGGTCAAACTATTAATAAAATTATTTTTGTCAGGAACAAAGCAACTTGTTGATCAAGAATTCATTTTACTGTTAAATATATTACGTGAATAACTGTATCATTTTTAAATGAGTAGTATGCCTTATTTCCTAAATTTATCAGCTAGTACAAACAAAAATATTAAACTATATTGCAAAACATCTAGATGATCTTATGGAACTTATAATTAACTTAGCATTCAATGAGTAGTGATTTTTAGCCTACCATCAGTATATATATATGTCATATTAAAAGCACAGGAAAAAATGAAAATTAATATCATAAATAATATTTATGTGCATTACATTTAATTATAAGTAATGATTATGTAAAAGTTTATTTTGTGATATTCTGCGATAACAAGAACCTTCCCGGAAGAATTATGATTATGTGAACTCTCAAACAAAAAGACTTTTGGACTGAAATGCTGAAAAATTCAATAGGACTCTAAAAATTAAAAATTTATTTAAAAAAAAATGATATTTATAAATTATACTTTTATAGAATGAAAATTTTATGATTTGTCTTTAAAAAGGCTTCTCTGTCGCTACGCCTTTTTCTTTTTGAAGGGGGGAATATGTAAGATAAAATTATATGAATCAGAATAACTAAAAACATTAATTCTTCCTCTTTATTCTAAAATCGTAATAACTTCTCTGCATTGCGTCATTTCTAGATCACTCTATGGCCCGCGCAACTCTGATGACGTAATAATTAAGAACTGAAACTGACCTTGTAAACCAAAACTTTTCTCTTCGCGTGCTTCCATCTTTCATAACTACGTACTTCAGCTTTTGCTCTGTGCTGTGCTAAGATGTAATTTTGCTGGCTTGCTTTCTATCTCAAAAATATCAAAAATGTAAATCTTTCTGTGGAAAGGCACGACTAGAGTGCCAAGTGATTGTGGCCACAAATATCAATTGGGAATAAAAATGGAATTAAAACTGCCTCGACTGCCAAGTTCTTTAAATACTACGCAATCAAAATTCTTCAATATGGATCTAATCATGCATCGACACTGCTCCGTTTTTTCCTTTGTGCTTTATTATGACATATATATATATATTAGAAAAATTGTTTCATGCATTACTTCCAAGGACCATGAATAATATAGTTTTTTTTAAATCAGTATAGTCTAGTCCTCTACTGCAGTAAAAACCATTTAAAATCTCTAAAGAAAAATGCTGTTTCAAAAAATACCAAATTCAAAAATAAAATTTTAAGTACTCAAAAAGTAGTTAGTAATGTCATTGATCACAGATTAATTGACTTGTCAAGGGGAACAAGCCAATCTACTATCAATCAACATTAAGTACTCAAAAAGTAGTTAGTAATGTCATTGATCACAGATTAATTGACTTGTCAAGGGGAACAAGCCAATCTACTATCAATCAACAGTAACACGATTAAGGAAGAGTGTTTCGTCTTTTTTCTAAGTAGGGGTTAAATTATTATTTGAAAGAAATGAGTCCATTTAAGCCAAAAGACCTGTCATAAACTAAATAAAAATAAGTTAGATATTCCCCTGAATTCAAGTTACCCATTAAGAACAGAATGAGATCCTCACTTAAGAAAAAAATATTCCCCCGATGCTGTCATATTCACTCAAAATCAAAAGTAAAAACAAATGTTATACATTTTTAATATTAAAATTAAAAATTTACATAATATTTTAAATTAAAGTTTAATAAAAAATAGTAATTTATATATTTTAAAAACAATGTCAGGAATTAAACTGACTTATGTGCAAAATTTAAAATGAAATAACTGGAAATGTAGTTGTGTTCGGTGATGGGATGTAAGAGTTTTGTCGTAAAAAATGTTGTTCTCTATTTTAGAAAGGTTAGTTTTAAATTGGCGAGGAAATCTTACTTTAAATTTAAAAGCTTCTTGGAGATAATATATTTAAAGTAGGCTATATATATAAATTATTCTGGGAAGATAATTTCTCTAGTTTATAAATAATATTTATAAATTCAAGATGTTAAAAATGCATTTTATTTGGCTTCTAAAATGAAAATAACTATTCTATATTAATCAATGATTGCATATTTAATGTTTATGTAATTTATTAGAAAATTTTTAGTAATTTGCATACTTAATGAAATACATATTATGGGTATATTTTAGGTTTTTGCAACTGATGTTATGGTAACAGTTGCGAAGTCTTTTGAAGCACCTATTAAATGTATGTATTCAATATGAAATGTTATTATACATATTTTACATGTTTTTATTGCATTTAAAAAGCACCATTTTATTGTTTTACCTTAATTTTATATATTAATATTTCATTTTCCCCCTCTTTTTTAGTGGTTTTTCCTCAAGATATTTTAGAAAATTGGTTAAATAGCAGTAATTTTGCAATGTTGGGGCTTGGTGATGTTGTTATTCCTGGTATTTTCATTGCTCTACTTTTGCGTTTTGATGAAAGGTATGTTATAAATACTTTTTAAAGTGATTAATATATTTTGCATCTTAAGTACACTATGTAGAGCTACACAGAGGTGAGGTTTTAATTAATATATAAATTATGTGTAGTAGAATTAAAAATTTTTAAATGTTATATAAAATTCATTTCCCATGGCAATAAGTATATGGTCTCTCCACTAATGATCCGTAACGGGTAACAAATAAGAATTAATAATATGTGTGTGTTAGGAATCAGGTTTGCAAAAAAATTTTGTCTTTATTATTTATTTTTATTTATTCTTATTTTTTTTTTTTTTTTTTTTTTTTTCTGTCTTTAGTGGAAGTGAAGAGAAAAATATGCTATTGCAAAATAATCCTAACTTTGCAAAATATTATCTTAGATCTGCAGTCAAAAGTCTTTAATCCGGACTAGTCAGGACTTCAGCGATTTCGAATTATAGATCATCAGTTTAAATCTGGTAAGATGGCATGCAGAAATTATAAAATTAAAAAATATGAAACCGTAATTTATGAAATAAAGAGCAATTGTGACATAAAGGGTATCAAAATTTACAAAAAGAAGCTTAAAATTTATTTGTTTACTTTATTAAACATTTCTTTCAACGCACGCATGCATAAAGCATACATTACGCATAGTCGAAATTAGGAAATTGCAACCAGAAAATTATTTGATGTGTATTCGTGATATTTACAATGACGAGGAATTTGATTTAAATCGTATCAAAAACGGAGTACATCGAGATGAAGTAACATAAATAAGTAAATAAGCCAAATAAAATAAAAACATCTGCCCTGAAGATAAGGATAGTGCTTACAGATCAACTTCCAGTTCATTGCGCCCCCCCCCCCTCTGTGTCACTTTCTTCACTATCGGAAGCAAATTATAATGACGAGGAATTTGACTTTAATCATATCAAAGACGGAGTACATTGAGATGAAATACTACATTTAGTAAGGAATTATAAGCCAAATAAAATAAAAACATCTGCCCTGAAGATAAGGATAGTGCTGACAGATCAACTTCCAATTCATTGTGCGCCGCGGTGATATGATTTAAATCAAATTCCTCGTCATTATAAATATCACGAATACAAATCAAATAGTTTTCTGGTTGCAATTTTCTAATTTTGACTATGCATAATGTATGCTTTACACATGCGCGCATTGAAAGAAATGTTTAATAAAGTAAACAAATAAATATTAAGCTTTTTTCTTGTAAATTTTGATACCTTTTAGATCATAATTGCTCTTTATTTCGTAAATTATGGTTTCATATTTTTAATTTTATAATTTCTGCATGCCATCCTACCAGATTTAAACTGATGATGTATAATCCGGAATTGCCGAAGTCCCGACGAGTCTGGATAAAAGACTTTTGACTGTATTTCAGCATTTAAAGTGTATAAATATTAAAAGTCTAATGCAAAAATATATATATTTTTTTACCTGAAGTAATTCAGTTTGTGTATGAAATTTAATTTTAAATAGAAAAGTTTATTAAATGAATTTTGATATACTATTATTTTTGTAATTTTGTTGCTAAAGGATTTTAATGGCATTTTCCCCTTTTTTTTATTTTAGCTTAAAAAGAGGACAAAAATTATATTTCTACTCTAGTTTTGTTGCATACTTCTTGGGTCTAGTACTTACTATATTCATAATGTCATATTTCAAACATGCACAGGTATGAATCTGATTAATAACTAAAACTTTAAATTTTCTATGTTTTTTTTTTTTTTTTTTTTTTTTTTTTTAATTATTTAGGCCCATTGCAATTTTCATTGCTTTTTAGTTAACTGTGTTATTAAAAATACTGTGTTATAAAATGTGAAGTTTGCAATAAAAGAAATAAAGGAATTTAATGTTTTTGATATTCCTCACTATAATGAAATTTAAGGAATCCAAAGTTTTGTTCAATACTGCACTGATAAGGTGGGGGGGGGGGGAACAGGGGGAACATCACATAAAAATTTATTTATAAAGCACACACGTATTTGCTAAAATCAAAATTAATAATAAATAAATAAATAAATAACTTTATCACATTTGCCAAAAAAAAGGAGATTTATAACTCAAATTAAAATATATATATATATAAAGATATAATTACAATTACTGTTACTTGCAATTAATAAATTTCTTTTCTGTTATTTAATATTTCTGTACATTAATAATTTTACATGATAAATTACTTAGCATAATTGTAATGGTAGTCATAGACCCATCCCTTTTAAATTACATATTAAAATATTTATTTTTAATTAGCATTTGTTCAGATAATGGTAGATTACATGGTCTTTGAATGGCAAACCATTTCAACGATGCTTCTTCAGTATTCTTATGATTGGCCTTTAACTTTTTCCTCATGTGTGAATTTTTTTTTTTTTTTTCCTATGAGCGGAAATCGTCGAATCTCGATTTTTCCAAATAGAAATTATAGATTTGGATAAAAATGTATTTCGAGAATATATTGATTTGGCTGCATCCATTCTGTATTTTTTAAATAATACTCCCCTTGACTTCAATACAGAATGCTATGTGTTTACTGCCTGGCATACCAATGAATTTTTAATGATCAAATTTTCACCTCCATAGCGTGAAGAGAGATTAAAAATGTATATATATAGATATGTTTGTATGTATGAGTGTGTAAAATTTCAGGTTTCTAAGAATTTTAAAATTTTTAAAAATTTTAATTAAAAATTAAAATAATTTATCCAATGTGCAGTGAGAATGCATTTATTTTTGCCAAGATATATATGTTTGCAAAGCAGAAGTGCATTAGCCTTATAAATAATATCTTAAATCTTACAGATGATCTAAAGAATGCAAAGCTCCCCATTCAGAAGTCAAAACTTCGAAGTTGTAAATACTGAAATGAAAGCAAACAATAAGGAAATTTTTTCGATTTCTTCAAAGGCATATCACCTGTACACCCCAAACTCGTGAGAGACTATTCGTTATTTCATCTTTTCCTGAATAGCAGACTTTCAAAATTTCCATCATAGTGTCAACTTTGGATAGAGCTCTGTTTGATAGCTCAGTGAATGATTTTGAATGGCATCAGAAAGTACATTCATGTTCTTTGATTCTATTGCAAACACCATATGATGTGTGTGACCATTGAAACGATGTGCGTGTCCTGGTTCTCCAAGAACGAGGTATTACCCCTTGCTTCCACAGTGTTTGGATAGAACACAGGGAAGAATGGAGCTAAAGATAAAAAGCTTCAGCTCCATTTGATCTTTTTGGAAGATTTTCAAACTAAACCTTTTTTTAAGGCTAAAAAATTGCTTTTTATTCAGATCAATGCAGTAATGTATATAGATTAGGTTAGCAAGAAAGTAATTTCAGTTTATACAAATAGAGAGCATTACGTTTGTTTTTGTTATTTGTCTGTGAATCTTATATTTTTTTTTTCTTTTGAGATTTGTCAGGAGACACTTTTAGGTTGCTATAGAAATAAATTATGTGTATTTTTGTTAATAGCTATTAGTTTAGGGTCAGTTTTAACATGGCTGCAAAAATAAAGATTTTTAACATATTTTTATAAGAAGGTGGCTGAGACTCATGAAGAGATGTGTGAAGTTTATGGTGTTGATTGCTTAACACAAAGCATATGCCAGAATTGGTTTAAAAATTTTGTGCTGGAGATTTTTCAGATGAAGATGACTAACGTATCTGGCCGACCTTCTGAAATTGGTGATGACAAAATTAAAGCCATAACTGAATCAAATCATCATATAGCTGTGTGAAAGATTGCAAAAAGATTAAATGTATCACACACAACATTTGAAAATCACATAAGATGTCTTGGAAACATTAAGACGTTCGATATTTAAATATGAATTGAAAGAAATTTGCTTAACGTACATTTATTAGTACACATTTCAAATGTAATGCAGTGAACCCTTTTTTTTGAAATAAATTATCACTGGTGATGAGAAATGGATCATCTTCAATAACATTAATGAAAAAGGGTCATGGTCCAAGCATGATGAATCAGCACAAATCATATAGAAAGTCAAATTGCATTTTAAAAAACAATGCTGTCAATTTGATGTGATTAGAAAGATTGTACTTTAGCAAAAAAGATTGATCATGTGGTTCCAGCAACCGAGCAATAAACTCAGATGTTTACTACCAACAACTTATGAAATGCAAAGAAACAATGAGAGAGTAAAGGCCAAAATTCTCAAATCACAAATGGATGATGTTCCACCGCAACAGTACCAGGTCTCGCTAATCTTTAGCAGCATGTACAAAATTACTGGAGCTTGGTTGGGAAGTGATGTTGCATCCCTATGTAGCCCCAACCTTGCACCATCGGATTATCATTTATTTCCAAAGTTTACAAAACTTCTTAAATGGTAAAAATTTCAGTAATAATGATGACCTCAAATCACACTTGGTTGAGATTTGTACTAATAAAGACCAGCAGTTGTATGAGTGCGGGATCATGAAATTACCAGAAATGTGGCAGAAGGTCATTCATTGAACAGAATAGAAGATATTTGACTAATTAATATTCATTTTTTATATAAAACAATGTAGTTTTATTTCACCCTAAAACAAAATTACTTTCTTGCCAACCCAATATATATGTGTGTGCATGTGAATTATCTGTTAAAGTAGATTAGACGTGACAGATTAATTTATTTTAGAGTGGAGATACTGAAATATATATTTATGGGCAGGAAATGATATTCAAGTAATAAAAAGTATTAAAACGTGCATCTATATAGTTTTAATATTTGTTATCATTTTAAGCCCCAAAATTACTTATAAATGAAACTGGATAATTTAATTTTTTAAATTCAGTTTATAACAGATGGGACACTTGTATTTTGATTCACAAAATATGCATGCACCAGTGATTGATTGTTTAAAGCTTTGAACTGTGTTAATTTGTCCTTTGCTCTCTTTGGAATTGACAGGCTTGCTGCATGGGTTTTTTATAGTTTTACCCAAGTGTTGCATGAGTACAAGCCAGTTCTCCCTTAAAAAAATCCTCTGTAAAGGCATCACTTTCATGGATAGTTTTCACATGCTTAACCATAGTTAAAATCAACCAGTCAATCAAAAATGTATGCATTATTTTGCCATATGCACATTGACAGTGGCTGCCTGTTTTGTCCATATATGGATGTAGTTAGGGGTAAAGTTTAAAATGAAGTAAAGTATTCTGGATTGACATGCTAAAAACAACATTTGAACATAAGTCAAAACAGAAGCTTTCACTGATGATCCATCTGCTTTGTCAGCTGAAGGTGGAATGAATTGCTCATTTGAGTTCTCTCTCTTTTATTGCTTTCTGCAGTTTCTGTATTTTTCAGAATCAATGTCCTGATATATGGTAGGTTGAAAGCAAGATACGTGTTGCAAAATGATCTAGGGGCAATTTCTAGTATTTCTCTGATTTTTTAGACTGCTTATTATGCTAAGATTTTTGATGATTTTGGCTACTCCCATTTAGTTACTAATCTGGATGCTTCAAAAAGTATTTAGTGTGCCATTTTCATTGGTGTATTGATTGTTGGAGAGTTTATGAATATCTTTTGTATGCTTGGTAATTTGAGGGATAATTTTCTGGATGTTGAACTGATATATTCAGTTTCTGTATTTGTATATTAATTTTGGATTGGAATAGTTTACATATTTGAAGTAATCTGGTCCCTAGAGACCTTTCACCTTCAAACATCTCAAAAATAAAAAATGTACCCATACATATTTCAGCCGAAATGGATAATGTTGATGCTCCCATAGAACCTTGCCATTTATTGATATGCCTATTGGCTCTAAACACTGTAAAATTGCAGATGAAATGGAAGGCTTCATAGATGTTGGTAATAAATTTAGATGTAATTCTTAGCCAAGGTTTTTACCAAAATCATTTGATAGTCAAATAAATGGAGGGATGGAATAAAGATTTAACATTGGTGGTTACCATGGTAACATCAGTACCAATTAGTTTTGAAATTCTGAAATTCACTTGATATATTATCCTTTATGACACTGCAGTGTCCATAGAGAAGCACTTGTATGAAGTGGAATGCCCATAAAGGAGCTAATCCAGCCAGACTTTTGTTAAATATAACACTTTCACTATCAAACTTTTGTTAAATATAACACTTTCACTAGCAAAAATTACACTCAGCTTTTCGTAAAGGACAGCATATCAAGTGTGCATTCTGTAATTTCATGCACAGATGCTAAAAGTAATCACTGTAATCATGTGTGCCCTTCAATTAATTTACTTTTGTTGCTAGTCATGTGAGGTTGTAGTGATAGTCAATGCTGTGTCATAGAAATAGTACTCATATGCCAACTTGCTTATTATAAGAAATATGATTTAAGGAGGTAATAAAAGATTATTATTTTTTCCACATTGATTACTGGCAATGATGTTGACATTACACTTGGCGATGATTACAGATTTAAGTTAAATTCTCTAAAAATGTTGACGAGGAACCAAAAGTTTCTTTCCATATGCTAAAAATAGATTTTGTTGATGATACTCATAGACCCAAAGATTACATTTATGGCTATTTGAATTAAGAATAACTCATTTGTTTTTCACATAAACCCAGAACTAGCAGCAGGGTTCGTATGGCCACACCGAGTCTCAGAATTTAGGAGCCGTAAAGACTGCATCAGGCGAGAAGATATCTAGCACTGACCCTCAAATCAGCTTAAATACGTGTGGAAATTTATTTATTCAGAACTCTGATAAGCCTTAAGCATGTGCAAGAAATAGACATAAGTATAATAAATATCTAATAAAAATTCAGGCTTAATTGTCTCGATGCATGATAGAAGCAAGATAAAATTTAACGGAACGACTTGTCGTTAGTCGCCAAGCTCATGATGCTTAGCCAAATATGTATAGTTAAGAAATTTGATGATGATAGCCGCTAATTTTAAAGGTTTTCATATATCGAAAAGCAAAGGTGAAATTTTTCAATTAACGGATTTTGTAAAGAAATATGGAGAAGTGGTAATAAATGAAGATGCTATAAAAGAAGTTTTTCATTGTGATGACAATGCCTATCAATCATCAATCAATTAATGAATGGTGAAATCTGTTGTATGGTTCTAGATCCAGAACATATTACTGCTACCGATAGATAGTGAAGAAAGTGACAGAGAAGTTACTGAAAACGAGAAAATTTCGATTGACAAGTTAGTCGGAATTCTCGAAACAGCAGTTACAAGACTTCAAAACAATGTAACTAAATAAAAGATTATGTCTGGAACCAGTTACAGAATTAAAGAGAAAGTACAGTCAAAAGTCGTTAATCCGGAATGATCTATAATCCGGACCTCAAAGCTACAAACTTTCTGCGCATGCGTCAACGCATAATGCATTCACGCATGCGCATAGCCGTTTACGCATGCTCATAATACGTTTACGCATGCGCGTTTAATGTATAACGAATGGTATAAGCTAAGCTAAAATTATCTAATTATCTATTCCAGTTAATGTTGCAGATTGCATTGTTCCTTAATCTTCGAATTGGATCCGACTTATTATTTTTTGCAGACTGTTAGAGCAATTTTATAAAAGTAAGTTTGAACTTTCGATTATGTCAAATAGAATTTCCGATATATATTTACTAATATGTAAAGGATCTACAAAGCGAAAAGTATGTTTCGATGTCCATCAAACAAAAAGTGGAAGTGCTGCAAAAAAATGGATAAAGGCATATCTTTTGTTTCTCTAACCATTCCGAAATCTGTTTATCAATTTCACGCTACTCTGCGTGTGGGGGACGTCGCGGCGCACAACGAACTGGAAGTTGATCTGTCAGCACTATCCTTATCTTCAGGGCAGATGTTTTTATTTTATTCGGCTTATTTACTTATTTATCTTATTTCATCTCAATGTACTCCATTTTTGATATGATTTAAATCAAATTCCTCATCTTTGTAATTATCACGAATACACTCAAATAGTTTTCTGGTTGAAATTTTTTAATTTCGACTATGCGTAATGTATGCTTTACGCATGCGCGCGTTAAAAGAAATGTTTAATATAGTAAACAAATAAATATTAAGCTTCTTTTTTTTTTTTTTTTTTTTTTTTTTTTTTTGTAAATTTTTATACCCTTTAGATCATAATTGCTCTTTATTTCATAAATTATGGTTTCATATTTTTAATTTTATATCTTCTGCATGCCATCTTACCAGATTTAAACTGATGATCTATAATCTGGAAAAATCGATAATCCGGAATTGCTGAAGTCCCAACGAGTCCGGATTAAAGACTTTTGACTGTATTAGCATGAAAAACGAAGCAACTTAGATAACTTGCATTGAAAGAAATCTTTAATAAGATAAACAAATAAATATTAAGCTTTTTTTTTTTGTAAATTTTGTTACTATTTAGATCATAAATACTTCATTATTTCATAAATCATGATTTCATATTTTTAATTTTATAATTTCTACATACCATCTTACTAGATTTAAAATGATGATCTAATATCCAGAAAAATCCCAAATCTGGAATCGCCGAAGTCTCGACGAGTCTGGATTTCGGACTTTGTGCTGTATATATATATATATATATATTGCAAATGAATTTATTACAAGATAGTTAACAATGATATTGCAAACTATATATTTCAGAATGTTATTCGTATATGATCTTTGCATAAAATGAAACTTTGTTTCCATTCCAAACCACATACATTTACAACTAGTTTTTAACCTTCACTCCATGGCAATACCAGCATATATATTGAAAACGTAAAGCCAGTCGAACTTAAAAATAGACATCACCCCACCCCACGCACAAGAGCATGATTGGCTCTTCAGCAATAATGCCAGTCACATGCCAGTGCGTGATCGGCAGTGAGTGTGTTTTTAAATGCTTATCACAATCAGAGATAAGGCAATTAGCAAGTGTTGAATATCGAGGCATAAAAATTGTATGATCTGACACATACAATTTTTATCCTTCAAAATTCAACTGTGATATGATCTGTGACAATTCCCATCAGTGGTTAGAAATTCCTGTACAAATATTGCAACACCCAAGCCATTCATTGAGTTCATTTCATTTCCATTCATCATTATGACCATATGTGTTGTCTGAACTGGAGTAAATCGGGGAGCTTTTCTTGAAGGTGCTGTCTTTTTGAGAATGTGGTTCTTTCTACAGTAAATGTAGTTATGTAACTAGAGCAAGTATGTAATAATCATGTAAACATATATTTATTAGTGGCATGATATTCTCTTTCTGCATTTATTTTATTGAATGTGTGGTGAACCTGGGATTGAGATTGAATACAAAATTCATTCAAATATGTTTTAAATCTGAAATTAAAGCAGATCACATTTGTTTAAGTATGCTTTCTTTTATTAACCCGCGAGCACACGCACCGATCCGACGAACACGCGCCGGGTATGTCATACCCGAATAAAAAAAATTTAATTAAAAATTTGTCAAAAAAATTAATCGTTTTTTTAAAAGAAATTAAATGTAAAACCAAGTTAATACTTCATTTTAGACAAAATAGGAAACAATAAGGAGAGGAAAAATTATTTACTTACTTCTTGAATGTTGTTTACAAAATGAGGTCATATAATTAAGACACAATAACACGCCGAAAAAAAAAGGTCATATGTTCTATACATATACTTTTGCTGCAATTTTCACAAATGAATCTAGTCTTTCTATCTTTTTTCTTGGAGCACTCTGTACACCTCTTGTAAGTCATTTTCGGTTTTTTGGGGGACAGTTCATTGTTAACATGTTCATCGGTGGTCAGTGTTTGTCCAGAATCAGGAACCACAGATGCTCGCCGTCGTTCATTTTGAACATTTTCTATTAGCTGCATCCCTAAGGCTTTGAGAAAAGTACTCATCCCGTTTACGAGTAAAATTTTCTCGTATTGAATCAATATAAATATTTGTATTGTCAACTACATGTTTTAACATATCTTCATCGATAAGCAATGACAAGGAATCTAAAGGTGTTGAGAAGTCTTTAGAATACTTTGTATTTCCAGGGAGCTTAGTTATAATATTTTTGTGCCAATTCTAACATTAGTCCGGAATTTATTTTTGTTCCATTTTTTCCAACATAAAAACTCATTGCTACATTCTAGAGTTTCATTTTCTGTTTCTGTATCTGAATCACTACTCTCTACGGGTGAATCATGATTACTATTATATTCTTCGTCATCAACATCTTCCTCTTCTTCACTAAATGAATCCTCATCAGAAGAAACTGTTTCAAGAAGATTTCTCAATCTTTCCATCTCTTCATCGTAAGAAATATACGGCGCCATACTTACACTTCAAGAAAAACCTATACAAAAAGCTTGAAAACGAGAAGTGCGAAGTGACTCACTGAGAAACTCGAGTACACGCACGGGTATGACATGCCCGAACAATGCTGTTCCTAAAAAACCGTTGCACTTGCCACCTCAGGAATTTCTCCCATTAAAGTATGTGACCTTGAACTCAGCTACACCAAGTTTCAACCTTTTATGAAATAATGGGCGAGAAATATACAAAAAGAAAAATGCACATGGGTATGACATACCCGCCGCGTGTGCTCGCGGGTTAAAAAACTTTGACTTATTATTCTCCGATTACACTAAAAATAAGAATATGCTGAAGAATGAATTATTATCTTTCCTAATATTAATTCTGTGAATTATGAAATTACAAATGTGATATATCAATGCATTTTCTTATGTTTTAGCAAATTTCTTGTTATAATTTTTTTTTTCCATTTCAGCCGGCATTATTATATCTGGTTCCAGCTTGCATAGGTATTCCAGGTATAATAGCAGTTTTGAAAGGAGATGTTAAAGCCTTACTGAAGTAAATTTTTCATCATAATATTATATAAATTCAAAATACTTTTATTAATATATTGTAATACTTTAATTGCATAAAATGCTATCAATATTTAATTCATGTTAATATGTTATAAAATTAGTACAGTGTACAAACTTTCACTTTAGGATCTGTAGCTTATCATGTGAATAGTATGAGTATAATTGAAAAATGTTTACTTACCATTTTACAACTTTTTATTTAATGCATGAGTTTTTTCTGCTTGTGTTCAGTGTTTTATGTAAAAAATAAATAAATATTTTTCTATAACCTTTTCCAATTAATGATTACCTTAAAATTATCGTAATTGGTCTTATGTTTTTATTTCTTTGTCTGAAGTAAAAGAATTATTTAATCAGGAAAAATTTCGGTTATCATATTTCATCGAAAATATCCATTTTGACCGATATCAAATGCTATTTGACAGTTTTTGTGTATCATCTGTATATGAGGACAGAGTAAAGAACTTTTTTTCCCTCCAAAAAAATATAAAACAGATTTAAAATTGATTCAAAAGAGATTTTTTTCGTGGCGTCTGTATGTATGTATGTATTTTGCATAACTCAAAAATGAATAGCCTCTAAATGTTTAAATTTTGTGTATAGGACTGCTATAACATGTAGTAGTTTGAAAAGTATGCACCTCTCTTATATATATATATATATATATACTAACAATGATATATATACTACTACTAACAATGATATATATATATACTACTAAACTACTAGTGGGTATATGTATTACTAAACTCAGTGTCCATGGCCTGCAATGCTCCAAAATCTGCTTTCTTGACTTTGGGCCTCAGAGTGCATCAGTATATGCCCTGGGCAAGTGGTCAGATTGTCACAGGCTTCCTGGTGTTTAGTCCCCAAGTGAACTTGGTACTTATTTTATCAAGCCATTCAAGGGATGAAAAGCTGAGTCAACCTTGCTCAACTCGGGTATCGAACTTCGGACCTGTGGTGCAGTTGCACGACATGTTAGCCACTTCGCCACCGGACTGTTATATGTATATGTGTAAAATATAAAATCTCGCTTTCAAATATAAATTAATAACCCTTTAACTTTCATTCTAAAAAGAACAGCAATAAATTTTCCTCCCTGCAGTTCTGATGATTACTTACCAATGAAGTCTGAACCCAAAATCATGAACATTAATCTGTCATGTGATCTGAAATGGAATTTGGTATAATAAAAGTAATTTTTTTGGGGGGGTTAACGTAAGAATTTTTGTACTGTTTGCAGTACAAAACAATTTTTAATTTTTAAAGAATTAGAAACTATAAGTAGTTACTAATCTGAAAGTTACTTCGTTATTAAAAGTGTTGTAAGTTGGTAAGAATATGTATCTGTGAGAGCTTCGCATTTTAAATGCATTGTGTTTAATCTTTATAGTTTGAAGTGTAACTACTGATTGTGCTTTGTGATACTGAGAAGAGCTGTATGAGTATTTTTGTGGAAAGTTCCAGAACTGTCAAGTGTTTGTTCTGGTAAAAACTTTTTATCAAGCTATCATCGGTTCTGTGTGCATTCACTCCCCATATGCATGCAGCAGTATTATAATATAGATTTTAATTTCTTTTTTACGTTTGAACATTTAAAAGTTAAGAGTCTTGCATCTTATGTGTTTTTAAATACTTTTAATGAGATATAAATCTGTGCAAAATTGCAGTTGGAAGTGGGGCTGTTGTATAAAATTGCAAAATATGTTTCTTGGTTTTAAAGCAGTTTAAATATTGTGATGCTTTCTATCAGTTTTAATAATTTTATTTACAATTAAGAATTTTGGTTGGAAAATCCAGAAGTAATGTGATTGGAAAAAATATAGTTTATCTTGTATAGTAAATCTATTTCACAGATTAGTAAAACAGTTTGAAAACTTAGTTTAGAATGTTATTCACAGATTATCATCATATTAATTTATTTATTTGTTTGTTTTTTTAGCTATGCAGATCATCCAGAAGAAGAGAGTTCCTCTGAATCATCATCGAAGGAAGGTTCACCTGAACAAAAAGATGATTCATTAAGGAACTCTGATTCAGTAGATTTGAAGAAAGATAAATAAATGTACTTACTTTTAGGAATTTGTTTTAGAACTTAAAAAAAGTTGGAACCATGTTAAAAATTGAAAGATTCCATTTGTTATAACAAGTTTCTTGTTAAATTCATAAATATTTAAAAAAGGAAATTTATATTTTTAATAGTATCTAAGTATAGTTTTTTCAGATTGACTTCCTGTCATTCCAAGATATAATGAACTCTAAATACTTAAAAAAGAATCAATGATAAACATATGATTTTTTAAGTATAGTAATTTAATTGTATTGTTTTTCTGATTTCTTGTACAAAATTCTACAATTAGTTGCTGTATTCTTCAAAATTTTTTGTTGCGTTAAAAATAAGTCAATAGCTATATTAACTTCAAAATTCCTTGGATTTTTGAGAAAAAAATGATAGAAGGATTGTTTGTGTCATAAGAAAATTCTGTGGCTAATTTTCTTTGAAGTTCTGATGACCTCTAAGAAACTCTGGCACCTTCATTATTCATAAATCAAGTTGACATTTACATTTTAGGATTTAAAAATATATGTCCATAATCCATAGATAGTTTCCAGACTGTATAATCAAGTCTTCTAGCAAAATCAAAAATATATTGTGTTTGCAGAAGGTGGAGCTGTGATGCTTATTATCTTAATCTACTTTAATATGAAGTCATTTGTTGCATTTTTATTTATTGACTAAATTCAGAACTTTTTAATGTTATTTTGAAGTTCCATCATAGTTTTTAAATATTAATATATTACTTTTATAATGTTTTTGAAGCTGTGAATACTTTGTACAAAACAGTATTATCTTCAACTATTCAAAATATGTTATATGCGAACTGTGTTCCTGAAGTATGTTAACCATAATATACATAAAAAAAGTCTATCTTTGATTCATTGCTCTTCTTCATATTCATTTTTATAAACTATTCTTTGAAACACAATTTTGCTGTCAAACAGCTAGGAATACAATGCATGAGTTGGTCAAATGTTTGCTGTTTAACAGCTAGAAATGTAAGAGTTGGTGCTAATATTTTAATATTAATAGTCGGCTTTTTTTTTTTTTTTTTTTTTTTTTTTGTTTGTATTTTTTGTAAATTTAATTAAAACAAACAAAAATTTTAGTTTTATTCCTGTAATCTTTCTAGTACTGTAATTAGCAGTTCTTATTTTTTCCATTATATTCATTTTAAAAATTTAAAAAAATTGTAGATGATCAAAGCCTACACTGTAGATTTCTTTATCATTATTATTACTGTTGTTGTTATTAAATGAATTTGTCATATTTAGTTTTGAATTCTTGCAATAATTCAGGCTTTTTGCTGTGTCCCTTATTTTTAGAGTTTGGCACAGATATTCTTGCAATTTTGATGCCAGCATGTATGGAATCTCATCTAGTTTATTAGTCTTCATTAATATGCAGTTAAAGTAAAAGCACATTCACAGTAACATGATTCTGTAAATCTTTTAATTCAAACAGCTTATGATTAGAATTTTCTCTTATATAAAATATCATCTATTTCTTAGCAATGAAACATTTAATTCAGTATTGAAACTAAATAAAAATTGTAAGAATTCTCTTCATAATACATAGTTTCATTGTTATATTTTTTATTCTGAAATAAAGAAAAATAAAAAAAAAAAGATAAAAGATTAACAAGAATCATTAGAGCTATAATCATTAACAATATATTTTTATATGTTTTTTAAGTCATTAAATTTTAAATAAATCTTGCAATTGGGAGTTTCATTTTGTCAGCCAGTTCGTTTCATACTGTTTTTGACAGTGTAACCAATGTTGCATTTTTATGTTCTTGAATAAAAATTTTCTTTATTAATGTTTTTCTGGTGTGTGATTTAACAATAAATACATTCCTGAAAATAAAAAAATAGTTCCAGATATCTAATATAAATTAGATTGAACAGTGATCAGATAACTGAGACTGTTAGATGCACACTGAAGAAGAAAAAAAATCAGTTGAAAATTGGGGGCAATGCAAGATATACATGATTGCTGTATGTTGAAATCAATACTTAAATGTTGATGTTAATTACTATGCATGTAATGAGAAGTAGTGCAGACAATATATTTTTAATGAAACATACAATATGGTAATATAATGATATTAATGACAACAATAATTTTTAGTATGAATTATGTTTTAATAGTTTGTTGGATAAATTCAAATATCATATAACTGGCATTATGCTTATATATTCATTCAAATAATATTACAAGGCAATGCATTGAAATATAAATAAATGCAGCAAAATTTTGCATATACACTCGCTTCACACACAAAGTTAAGCACAAAGATTTAAAATGCAAAGAAATCAACAAATACTGCTTTGATTGACACAAAATTCAGCAGGAAAGTAGCATGTATATTTATGCATAAAACAAAATCAATAATTATATACAGAAATGAAAACAATATTACATTATTGTAAGTTATCAGATAATGACATACTGAAAACTTAAACAGAATTATGTATAAAGTGAAAATAAATAGCATAAATTAAAAAAAAAAAAAAAAGGACATTAATAGGGTATGTGATCTCCCCCTTGTCTGTATACTTGTATGATCACAAGTTTACACATTGTGATCATGCTTTCAATTCATCTTGTAGAGCAGTTTCCAGCTCAATAAGAGTGGCTGGAGGTGGGAAACATGAAGATACAGCACAGCCGAGAGCATCCGAAAGATTTTCAATGCGATAAGGTTGGGCAAGTATGCTGGCCACGCCATACACACAATCCCTTCACTCTCCGGGTAGTCATAGACGATGTCAGCTCTATGGAGATGTGTGTTATCGTCCATTAAAACAAAAGTAGAGCCAACTGCTGCAGCATACAATCTCACAATGGGTTCTAGGACTTCATCTCAATACCAAAGAGCCGTCAAAGAACCCCTTTAAAGATGTGCAGGTCGGTGTGGTATCCTAATGAAATTCCTGCCCACACCATAATGCTTCCGCCTCGGAATGCATGATGTTTTGGGACTGATTGCGTGTTCGTTGTGTACGTCATATCCTTATACACTTGTCATCTTGCTCAAATCATCAGAGCAAATCTTGACTTGTCAATAAACATGACATTGCTCCAGTCAGACACATTCCAGACATGTTCCGGGCACCACTGTAATTGTGCCCCTCATGATTGGACAGATAGAGGAACACAAACTCGAGGTACCCGGGTGTACAGTCCACTCATATGAAATCTTTGGCATACAGTAGCTGCAGATATCGCCTTACCAATGGACGCTGTAACCACAGATGTCACACGTGTGGAGGTCGCTCTGCGATTCCACTTGGCTACAGTAGCAATATGTCAATCTTCTGTGGGTGTTGTAACCCTTGAGTGACTGGATACGGGCTTTTGGACAACTGTCTGTGTGGTTTGGAATTGTTTTCATAAACGTGAAGTTACAGAATGACAAACGCCGAAGAAAAGAGCAACATCTGTGATTGACTATCCTGCTTCAAAGCACGCCAGCGCTAAGAATCTTCCATTCGTCTTCTGGAAGTCATAGAAACACATATGTCTTGAAAACAAATTGTACGAAAGTTTTAAACACCTTCTATCAGCACTTACAATCAACTTCTGTAACTCTTCATAAAGCTGGCTTCTTATAAGACTGCCTTTTTTGCATATTTCTTGACATGAAAGTGCAATACCTGTTACCTAACATAATTGCATACTTCCATCTATCTGCAGGGAATTTCATTCTCTTCAATTCTGATTGGCTTCCAGAAATTAGCATTTTCCTCTCTGTGCTTAACTTTTGGAAATGAGTGTAATTAGAGAAGGGAATTCAGTTAACAAAATCATGCTAGCTCGTGATGTTCAGTTTAGTTTTAGTGATTCATTCTAAGTTAGCAAGTGTTCTTTTATTATTGTGTATTTGGCATTAGCTTGGAAAATGCATTTAATAATTTTACTATTAATTGAGAACAAATAGTATTTTGAAATGAGAAATATGAAAAAGAATTGTGACCTAGCTAGGAATCAAACCATGGTTCTTTCAATTGCTAAGTTAGCAGTATTTTTTTATTTTTGGGTATTTGGTATTAGCTTTGAAAAATGCATTTAATAATTTTACTATTAATTGATAAATACAGTATTTTGAAATAAGAATCATGAAAAAGAGTTGTGACCTAGCTAAGAATCAAACTACGGTTCTTTCAATTGCTAACTGAAAAACTGTACAGAATGTTACTATTTTTAGTCTACTATTAAACTTTTTTCTGTTTATATTACTATATACTTATTTCTTTTGAACTATCATTATAAAATTAGACTTCTGTGCATCTATTAAGTTTTTAAAGTAGATGGAACTTTTTTTATATGTGTGAAATTGACTCTCAGTTACTCTTGTCAGAGATGCATAGCTGTCAATTCTCCTGGTTTTACTGAGATATTCTCGTTTTCCATCACCAATCTCTCCAGAAATCACTGAATCTACCAAGTTTTAATTTTTATCTTTTATAAGGAAAATGTTTCCTGGCACTAAATAAAATGTATTGAATTAATGAAAATTTAATTATGCGCATTCCATTTCTTTATCCTTAATCATTTTCAGGATAATTTTCATATTAAACGTTATTTGATTTGAATTGTCTTAATCTATTGTTGATATTTGTAGAACTTTTTATGAAGATTCAACCAATGTTTAATCAGTTAAATATTTGTACGTAAATTTGTTTTGCACCAATAGATGTATTACTGAGCTTATCCATACAATAGTATGTACTATCAATTATTACTTTTATCATTCATACTTTGATTAATAAAAGTTTTTTTTTTTTTTTTTTTTTTTTTTTTTTCTGTATTTGGGTTTTGTCAGTATAAAATTGGAAGAAAATCAGAAAATAAAATTAAAATGAGAAGCATAAAATTTAGAATATCTTAATTAAATATTAGTATATATTATGTCAGATATATTAGTAATTTCAGTGGTGCATTATAGGATGAATTTGAGTAAGTTTGGAGTTCTTTTGAAATTATGTCTGGGTTAAGGTGGAAAACTTCTGGAAATGTTCAGTTTTATGAATTGAGAACCTCCCAGTTTTTTATATTTCAAGGTTGGCAGTTATGGGGATGAAAGTTTCCAGTGGTATGCACAATTTCAGCAGTGTCTATGTAGTGTTTTTTAGTTGGCAAGCAGGATATGTTGCAGCAAAAGTTCGATAATTTGGCTCATTCCAGATTTCAGTGATGCTTGATTCACAGATTAAAATTGTATAATGCCACAAAACAGTTTTTTTTTTTTTTTTTTTTTTTTTTTTTTTTTTTTTTTGTGCTATTCAGTATGTTGAGAAAAGAGTTGCAGATGATAATTCTGCAAACATATTCAATAAGCCAGATTCATTCATAAATAAGTTTATTCACAGTTTAATTATATTGGGTTTTAATGAAGGTTTACTGCTACTGCAAATATCATCTGCACAAATAGTTCACGTTGCCATGTTTAATCATATTTTGTGAAACGATTTTTGCATTTGAAAGAAAGAGATTTGCTTTAGAACATTGTGCTGTGAAATTTGTAAGAAAATATCGTTATCATTAAGTACAAGGTGTCTGAAACGGAACTACAGGCTAGCAGATTAGAGCCATTGTTTACTTCCGGTTCTGTTGCAAAATGTCAGCTGCAGAATGTCACCAGATCATGTTAGCTTAAGTACTAATGTTGTATCATATGACAGTGTGAAGGTTTGGTATCCAAAAGTTCAAAAAGAAGGTCTATGGCATTCAAGAAACAACTCGCACTGACAGGCCTGCCAGCAAGAAATTTATGGAAGAAGATCAGTATGCAACCACTGGAGAACTTGTTAAAGGGTTAGATGTTACTGCCATATCAATTAGTCACACTATACACCGCATAATCTTGATGTAGAATTCAATTGTTGTGGGCCTCATGCGTCGACTCAAGCAGATAAGGACAGACATGTTCGGGCATGTACTAATCTGCTCGAATATCAACGCAAAGATGAAATTCTGGACTGGATTGTCACTTGTGAGGAAAAGTGGATTTACTTCAACAACACAGTCTGAAGAGGGAGTTGGTTTGTGCCGGTAGGCCCGTCTGCAGCGTCACAAAGCACAATTTCATTAACAAAAAGGATCATGCTTTGTATCTGGTGGGATTGCTGTGGTATTATTCACTAAGAGTATCTAGAAAAAAGGAAACTCTCGACAACAAGGTGTACAGCGAGATGCTAGTCCATGTTGATGCTGTTGTCATCAAGGGAAAACGAACTGAGTTCCGGCACAAAAAGGTAAAGTTCCATTAACATAATGCAAGATCCCACGTGTCTGCATTAACCTACTGGACTCTATATGGACTCAGATGGGATCTTTTGTCACACCCACTATATAGCCCCGACATCACTGCTTTGAATTTCTACCTTTTTTTCACACCTGCAGCTACATCTTGCTGGTGCTATCTTCCATTCTGCATAGAATGTCCGAAATGAGGTTGATCTGCTTTTGGACTCACAGCCATCAAGTTTTTAGGTCGAAGGCTTTAAAAAACTGCCAAAACATTGGCAGAAAATCGTAGATTTGGTTGATTACTTCCTGCAAAGTTACTGCTTTCATGTGTTTTTTTTTTTCCTCTATCTTTGTTATTAACAATGTTTTTTGGTAGAAGATTTTCATTACAACCAGATATTATTTAATTGAAAACATTATCATGAAGTCTTTTTCAAATAAAGTAAATAATACTTTTTCAATAAAGCAAATAAAAGTCTTTTTCAAATAAAGCCTAAAATAAATAAATACATAATAAATAGTCTTCTTAAATTTAGCTCTTTCTAAAAAGAGGGGAAGAAAGAATATA